TCTACCTTATAATTAGTTACTTTTGATTCTTAAGTTCATTTTAAGAGGTATTTACTATAATTCTTTTTAAACTCTTATACTGATATAATAATGAATACTCTTATTATTTTTTAGATTATGGTATTCAGTTGATTATGGAATTATTATTCACTTAGTTAAATAAGCATTAATTTTGCTCTAATGCAGGTAGATTAGAATAGGTTAATGATATTGAAATTATAATTAACAATTTCTATAAGGATTAAAAATTTTAAAATCAGCTTAAGTATTTTAGGTTTTGGTAGGTAATTAACATTTTCTGTAATTAATGATATTTATAAAAATTTTGTGAATAAATAATTCTTGGTTTTCTAAATTAAAACTCTAACTAGATAATAACAAATCTCCAAGTCAAATTGAATTCGCCAAATCATTTCAATTTTAGATATCTATATCTTTATTGATCATTTTTAGGAAACTCTTTAAACCAGAAAGTTTTTGCTGAGCTTTTACTCAATAATTGTTTTAATGATACAAATAGAAGTTAATCTTTAATATTCTAACAAATATACAGCTATAAAAGTTAAAAGTCACCAATTAGAAAATGAAAGAAATTTTTTACAAGACCAAACTTTAGTCATGTCCAAATACCTAATCAGCAAAGAATTCTATATTTCAACCATAATTTTTATTGATTTTAAATTTTTACATAAAGACTTTATAATTCATTCAAAAACTATGTTTGTTTGCATCTTATAATTTGATTAGATATAAATATAGGTTTATATGCAATATATATCTATTCCTCTGATGACTTATATATTTTAAGCAGTTTATAAAATTATTTAAAGTGGTGCAACACAATTGCATTCATATGTCTAATCTCTTTTTATTCAAAATACAACTAGTACACTTTTTATATTTAATTATTTAGATTTATAAATTTAATATTTATAAATAGCTTTTATATTATTCATCATCAAATTGGTATATTATCTAATAATTTTATTTTACATTTACTACCAACACCCACACATGGATATAATTCTTATGAAGTATCTATATCCAACTACTAATAATCGAAATGATATTTACAACAAATGTTGCTTATGGATTATTCTATCTACTCCATTTAATGTATTTATGTTCAATACATACTTCAATTATTATTATATCATTATTTGTAAATTAGAATGATAATTTTTTATCATATAAATCTTTGTTATGATGGGAATAAATACAACCACCATAGGCTATTAAGTATGTTCTATTATAATATAAATATATACCATACCCAGTTTTATAACAATCATAAAAATAATTTTTCTACATAACCTCTCTAAATCCTATTCCAACCATAAAATGTGATCCACTTATCATTTAAAATGCAAATTGTAGTTTCCCATTCTTTGGAATTGCTTATTCACAAAGACAAAAACACCAACCATAATTATTAGTATCTGCCACAACTTTTCCTCCTTCACTTACTTAACAATTAGTATGCTTATAAGTATTTGAAAATAATAATGATTTGTTATATAATTGAATCTAAAAATAATATAATAAATGAATTATAAATATACTTTTTCTAATTCGATTTTATTTTATTTTTCTTATTCTAACTTATTAATTTAATCAAGTTGGTTTAATGCTTCTTGTAATTCTTATTTTTTTTAAGTTAAATTTTGATTAAACTCTTATTTAACTTTGTTTTCTATGCAATAATATCAATATTTATTACATTCATCTTCG